CACACTAGACTCGGGCTCCATTAGCCACCTTAAGCAATTTCACACATTCGTTAATTCAAGAAATACCGTTTTATCATTTTGAACTTTAATACCGTGATAGGAAATAGGGTGATGGGTCCTTACTTGTTTTCGGGATCCGAATACGATTCATAGTGCGCCTGCAGGCCGTCCCTAATTTTCCCTGAATTTTTCCCGGGGAACTGAAACACACTAACAGTACCTGCACGTGTTCCAAAAAAAACCCAAATTAGGCCCAGGGCCTCTTTCGGCCCAAATCGCAACTCCGGCACGGCGGCGAGTCGCCTCGGGTTGGCTGTTTTCGGCCGTTTTCGGCCGAATTCGGCCACACTCGCATCGGTCCTTGTGAGAAAACAACCCTAGGGCCCTCGGGGGGCCAAAAAATCACGGAAAAACGGAGCTTACCGGCGGCGGCGCTCTCGGGTGCGGCGGCTCTCCGGCGAGGTTCGTGTTTTGGTGATTCGGCTCCGGTCAACCTGTAGAGAAAAGAATGGTGATCACGGTGATATAAAAATTGCATCGAACGAAGGCCGGGAAGGGCCTCGTCGGAGGCAAAAACCGAGAGGGGCGCGGCGGCGCTGCTGGGCTTCGGCCGCGTATTCCGGCCGTTTGGCCGGGATTTCGGCCTCGATTTGGCCATAGGAGGAATCAGCGTGGAAAAACGAGTCGGGGGTATGAAATTTACCTCGATCGGCGGTCGGAAATTTCCCCGGTGCGGCGGCGGGTGGCGGCGGTCGGCCTCTGGTTCGTCTTCTCCGGCGAGCGGCGGGCGGCTAGGGTTTGTGGTCTGGTGTGGGGGTTCTATTTATAACCCCTTGCCTTTTGATCTCAGCCGTCCATTTCGTTTTAATCTGGACCGTTCGTTTTTTATTGAATCTGGTCCGTCCATGCGATTGAATCTGGACCGTCCGATCGCGCGATTGATCTGGGTCGTCGGATCGCACCCACGCGGATCGCCAACGTGACTCCTTTCGGAGTGAGGCGGTCTTGCCACGTGGCAGGCCCCGGTTGGCCGGGACTGCTGACCGGGCCTGCTGACGTGGCCCTTTTTTTTTTTTTTTTTTTTCCCTCCTCCTTTCCGGGTGCTATATTTAATCTCCAAAATTTTTCAATTTGAAAAAACACTTAGTTTTCCTCCATTTCTTAAAGAAAAAAACTGAAATGATGGAGGTATGTTTGAATTCTTCCAAAACATAACTCAAAAAATTAATTTTGAATAACTAATTAAATTAATTATAATAAAAAAATAAGTAAATAATATTAATAATTTATCAATCAATATTTTAACTAATTAATTAAAATCTAAATATGGTCTAAACATTTTAATTTTTTTTTGTTAGAAAATGAAAAGAAATTATACGTTTAAAATAAATAAAAATTATTAAAGATTAAATTATAAAATAAATAAATAAATAAATAAAAATCAAATTATAAAAAAGTACCAAATATCGGATACTTATTTACCAATTTCTCCTAATAAATGCTATGAATAATTTGATATTAAACTTTTAGAGATTAATGGTTAGGATCCAAAAAGTTTTTTGAGTTACCGGTGCTTTGGATCCGAGGTATTTCACCCCAAACTTTAATTTGAAACAAATGAAATTTTAGCAACATCACCTTGCAGACTAACTTATCTTGTTCACAAGAAACTCCATGATATTCGCTATTCTTTTCTCCAAGAAAATCCATGAGAAAGCTGACCGGAATTCATCTTTTGTCCAACCCATTCTTTGTAAAACTTCATTTTGCCCTCCCAAGTTGATTTTTTGGTTGGGTGAAACACTCTGAATACTTCGATGAAATATCTAGTTAGATGGATTAATCGCATAAACACGACTTCCTTGACTTTAATGTCAAACTTACCGATGAGAAGAGAAAATATTCTCGAAGAATATGTAACAACTGGGCAATGTAGGATTAGGGTACTCGAACTCCTTCGATAATGAACTCTGAAAGAAACATCCATATGGCTTAGAATCCAGGATGCAGCCTCACAACTTTAACAACATAATTTGCAGAAAGCATATTGTTTAAGTTACCTCTCAAGTTTTTTAGGTGTAAAACGACGAATTTTAGACGATCATTCTCGACAGCCCAATAGAAGACAGAAGCCCTAGTTTGGGCAAATGAGTTCGGTCAACATTGGCTGAAAGAAAATTTGGATGTGTTCCAACAACTTTGGTGATATTGAGGAAAATAAAGATCAAAGTTTCTCTTTGTAAAACTTGAGGGAGATAAATGAATGGTAAGATATAGTGTATGAGCATTTCTGCTCTCTTTTGTTTTGCTTATCAAGTATAATTGTATTTGCATGAAATCTAGGGTGTTTCTCCTATTCGGAGGTAATAATTGCAACTTTCTGCACAATAATAAATCAAACATCAGCAATTCAAGATAATAAACAGATAAAGTCTAAATTTTCTGGATGTTGTGGACTCCAGCTAGCAAGTTCATTTATTTGTATTGACAAATCGATTGAACTACTCAAAGTTTGCTAGTATTCTTAACATGTAGTTTTAGGGCTCTACAGTTTTTTTTTGGGGGGGGGGGGGGGGTGGGAGGAGAGCTGAGAGGTTTTCTTTTGATACATGTTCTAACTTCCAACCAAAAAGGAACCAGCACCATTTTGATCCCATTCATTAATGAAAATTTGAGAATAAAATCAAAATTTTCTTTTAATTTTTATTTTTAAAATTAAAAAATAAAATGGCATCTACATAGCGGTCACACTAATGTTTATTAAGCTAAAAACTATACCACTTGAAATGAAAATAAACAGCATCCAACACCAATAACACAAATTCAATATAGATATAAAATTAATGTAGGAGCTTATTTAAAAATTCTGAAATTGTACGGACCTTGCCATGTATTTTGGCCGTCATCTTCTTTTATTCTTCTTTTCCCTCCTATCCAAAAATCCTGATTCCGGCCACTGGCTTCACTAATCTACCTAATATCAGATCTTTAGGAAGGATAAACATTTGTTTGCAATCAACATAATCATATTATTCATTACTCTTCTCCTACAGCATCAATGGCTCCAAACTCTTTCTACCCCGAACTTGAAATCTTTTCCATAAACCAATGCATTATTGATCACAACGTTCAGGGAAGAAATAACCCTTTTTTCTCCAAATTGACAAGATGTGATCATCCTCCATACATTATAGGGATCGAAAATCACCACACATACTATGTATCAAAATGCAATTTAACTGAGTTATAGACCTCCTTCAATTCAATCGAGAGCTTAATACAAAACAAAGCTCGTGCAAATGGAGCAGGTGAGCTCTGTAAACAAGATGGCTTTCGAGATTGAAAATCATTCATGTGCAGTTGACATGCTGCAAGCTACTAACTTTCTATTGTTTGCGGCTTTTCATCAAAGCTCATCCCTAAGTCCTGCAAGGTGGTTTTTCCTTGAAAGATACTTGATAACTGAGGCACTTGGTTTAGATACTTAACCACATAAGTATCAAAGAAGTATTTGCTGGGGGAAGACACAACAGACAACGAAATTGCTCTCTTAATCAATCCCTTACATTTCAAGACTTTTATGACAGAACACCTCGGGATGATTGAATCCTCCAAACTAAAATTTAAAACAACTGGAACTCTGGCAACATTTCCTGACTTCCAACCCATCTTGTTCACAAGAAAATCCATCTTGTTCATGATTCTCTCCTCTGAAAAAGCCAAAATTGAAGGTGTTTTCTTGAAAGCCAACATGATATCGTCATCTGTCCAACCCAATCTCTTATACAAGTTTATTTTGCCCTCCCAAGTCGATTTCTTCATCTGACTAAAGACCATGAATGCTTTGCTAAACTGCTTAGACGAAGTGTCGAATCCCATACACATAACCTCCTTGACATTCATCTCAAACTTAGCAATTGACAAAGAAAACAATTTGGGAGAATACGTTAACAACTGTGGAATGTGAGATTGTGGTACTCCCACCCTTCTCAAGAGTAAAACCTTGGAAGGAACATCCATCTGGCTCAAAATCCAGGACGATCGGTTCACAACTTTAACAACATCATCACGAGAAAGTATACTCTTCAAGTAATTATATTGAGGGATTAGCTTCTGGTTCAAGCTACGAGACAACATTTTGGGGTGTGAAGATATCATCTTTAGAAGATCAACTTTGGACAACCCAATAGAAGCCAAAAACTCAAGTTTGGGCATCAGGATGCTCTCAACATTGACTGAAAGAACATCTGGAAATGACCTAACAACTTTGGTAATTTGCGATATGGTGAAGCCATAGGTTTTGAGAAAATTGAGGATTGAATCTGCCTTCTCAGGATCACGAAGATTAAACCTGAGCGAGATCGATCGCGCAGATTCTAGAGACAATCCACATGACTGCACAAGGTATGATATTGTAACAGAGCGCTTGTCCTCTTTTCCATTTTGTTTATCACATAACAATGTTGCTGCATTAACGGACGAGAAGGGTCGAACGACGGCAATAGTAACATTACGATTGAGCAAAAGCAAATGAGTACTGGAGCAAATGAATTTTCTCCGATCCGGAGCTAGTAATTGCAACCTTTTGCAGAGTAGTAAACCGAACATGAGCAGATAATCCAAGAAAACAAAACGAAATTATCTTGCTTTTGTTCAATGTTGTGAGCTGCAAGAAGCAAGTTAAGATGGACTCACCGATTTCATATTCGAATCAACTCCAAGCTAGCGAAAAATAGCACACAGCAATCTGGAAAACGAGCTACTGCAACTTTCAAACGCAAATTTAGGGCTCTACCCTTCTTGGAGGCGGAATTCCACAATTGGGAGATGACGTGGACGACGCAGTAAATAAAAACGACGTCGGACTTAAAAACGCGGCGTAAAAACGACGTCGGACGTAAAAACGATTCGGACGTTGAAATGACGCCGTTTGTAATGGAAGAGGTACAACGCAGCGTTTTGTATTACGCGTAGGGTTACAACATGGGCTGGGCCTGGGAAAGGTCAATTATCCAGCCCATTAAAGAACAATTACAAATACGATTGAGTTTCAACATAAACAACTGCCGCTGGGTTCGCCTTTCTCCTTATCTTCATAAAATTAAGAGCTGTTCCCGTCTCTCTCCTTCGTTGACTTCTTTGTCTTCTTTTCTAATCGCGGAATCTCTCGGACCTGCAAATTAGCGGCAATGACTCATATCCTTTTCTTCATAAATTCTTTCAATTTCTTCTTTCTTTCTTTCTTTTCTTGATAAAAATTCAATCTTTCTTTCTTTCTTTTATTTTGCGATTTTGTATTTATTGCTATGCTAGTTTTTCAAAATCCATGATGATTGTTATTCATCTGTGCTCACGAATAGAATTTTGCTTTCCTTAACTTGGTTTTGTTGAATCACGCGGTAACCAGAGGGAACGTGATCGTGAAAGGGCTCAGTCCAGGAGCACCAACAAGGGAGGCAAAGGCAAGGATGACGGCTTAACTCCCGAGCAACGCCGTGAAAGGTCCCTATTTTACCCTAATTCAGTGCATCCATCTGTATAGCCTATGTATTTATATAATTTCTGATTATTTTCTTTTGGGTTTTCTTTGTGGGGTAGGGATGCTAAGGCTCTGCAAGAGAAGGCCGCTAAGAAGGCGGCACAAGCAGCGCCAGGAGGGACATCGGCTGGAGGTAAAGGAGACAATAAGAAATAATACTCAAAGTATTGCTTTTTGAGGTTGAGGACTTTCTTTTCTTTTTTTTTTTTCTTTTTGGGTTTTCTTTAATAATTTGAAGGTAGGGTTCTTGTGCTGGTCACCGGGTGGATGGTTGTTCCGAATGTTCAATGACTTGCTTTGTTAGTATTGTATTGAACTTTGTTAAGGATATTGAAAATATGGAATTAGCATATACCTTTGTTGTAGATTGTTGTTTTCTCTTCTGTGGTTGTAGTTGTTCAAAAGTGTTGAGACGTAAAATTTGTTAATTTTGAAGAGTAAAACCTTTGTGTAGATTAGCTCATTCTCATTATCTTCTCATTAGATTCATTTTGAAGAAAGTTGATGCTAAATTATGTTGTAAATATTCATTCTTACCTTTGAGAAAATCAATAAAGTTTCTGGGATTTCTAACCTTCATTCTGTTAGATAACATCTTGCGGATGTTTATTTGGAGATTTATTCTAATTTTTCTTGAGTACGATAATCGAATACGATTTGCGTGCTATAAATAAATAATGCTAAAATTGGTAGCGGTTCAAGACAAAGGTCTATTTTGTTATTTTGTTTTACTATAGATGCTGTCATGGTCAAAGGCTAGTATACTTGCAATCCATAAAATTCAGTTTATATCCCTGACAATTTCCTTCTAATACTGGTTTCCCTAAATGGCATGCTTGATATTTTTAGAATCTGATTAGCTGTTGTCTCTGTGCATCGTCAACACGAATAACTTGTTGCGCTTAAGAGAATCCCATATATGGCCATTTAGGAGCTTGGGCCAGTCGTATATGGGCTTGCAGGGAATTTTTTTTCTAGTGAAAGTTACATTGCATTGCTATGAGACAAAATTGCTCATTCTCTTATTAAAGGTGATGTGAGGTCTGAACGAAGCAACCAACTGTTATTTTTTGTCTTCATTTTGCCTTTTGATTTGCATGAGACAACCTCTTCAATTTTCTACCATTGTGTTTATGTTCAAATTGCCCTTCTTTATGGTGCTTTTCAATTTCCTGAAGTGGGTACAAATTATATTACCTTTATATGTGAGGTTTGGAGTCTTGAGGACAATTTATCATATTGGCAATAGAGGTCATGTTGGGTTAGGTTTCCAGAAGATCTAAAAGAGTGTGCTTCAACATGTCTGGTTATGGATTTTCCAAAAGGAATATGATGCTTGAAGTTAAAGGGAAAGAGGTTATAACCATTATCTGTTAGGCATCTCTGTTTGAAATAACAAAATTCCAAGGGCTGACAATAAAGTGTTACGTGGATTTTTTCCATAATGGAAAAATCTTATTGTTTTATGGCGCAAGATCTCGACTTAGTACAATTCCAAATAATTCCAGCTATCCTAATTGCAATATTTCATTTAACTTAGGAGCTTATTACCCAAGTTTTAGAATGATGCCTCACTTGAGTTGTGCAGCCTTATGCAAGGAAAATAGCAATATTGTTTCAACAGTTATGGCCAGGATCCAGGAGGTTTTAGTTTCTTTTTTTCTTCTTGGATTGTTTATTATTTTAGCTGTTAAAGACTGGTTTACATCCTTGGGATCATGTTCCAGTTTTTTAGCTTTAATATGTCAGCTGGTGTATGGCTGTAGATTTGAGATTTTCCTGGAGGTACATTTTCTTGGCTTTGCAAACCATAAATGACGAACAAAACTAGTAATTGCATATCATGCCATTATCTTGGCTTTGTAAAGGCTACAAGTTAATATTCTCATATCATGCCATTTGCCCATCGCTGATGATAGACGATTTTTAGATTAAAGGTTGGGATCTCCTGATTGGTCTGTTCATGAAATCTCATTTACCTGACTGGATGAAGGAGCATAATTAGTCCAATTGAATATCTTTTATAGTCTGAGTCAAGCAAGATGCTGGTTCTTTGAAAGAGATAAATGCTTCATCCTTTATGTCAATTAGGGAAAAAAACCTTAAATTTGTATTTGAAGATTTGATTTCAAAATTGTTTGATAGGACATTATGTATGTGCAAAAGTATAACATTAATGATAGGTTAGTTTAAGGAAACTTACTACTTGCAGAGGATTGGGAATGAGTACGCCCCTAGACATGACAGAGAATTTGCTGAAACTAAGAGTGGTTAAGAGTATTGGTGGTTGTATAGAAAGAGTTGAATAAAGCTAGGAAAATCATGATTCATAGAAGCTCCTGAGAAGTTTGTTACGAACCTGATACACGATTTGGATCTGGAAGAAAGAGAGAGAAAGCCGAGAGAGAGATAGAAAGAAAACCGAGAGTCAGTGAGATTTGAGAGAAAATATATTCTGATTTCAATAATTTTCTATATCCTTCCTTCCTTGAGTTCAGATTGACATATAGGCCATCAAGGCAGGAAGTTGTAATTGTCTGAACGGCCAGTAGAACGATTGAGTAAGGGTCCCTTTCGTCTTTCTGTTTCAAAACCCTAATCGTAGTTGCAGCTGTTACAATAAAGAAGACCAATCTACCCTTGCATGTATTTTCCTATTTAACCCCTAAGTGGATTCTGGACAATGCTATCTTTCTGCAAAGTGACCTTTCATTCCTCCTGCCTGTTTCAGGACAGATGATACTTCCCATTTTGCTAAGCAAAGATACTTGGATTGCATCCTCCCCTAATTCTGCCATTTGTATCTTCATTTATTATCTTGATTGGAATACCTCTTGAAATCTGTCATTTTTTAGAAACCTAAATGTCAGACCATATGCTTTCTTTGTTACTACTTGAGCCATTAAATGCTAATTCACAACCTAATAGCAGAATTTGGAGGTTGGATTTATCGAGTTTGTACTCCCTCAGATATCTATGCATGTACCTACAAATCGTACTTGTGGAAACGAGACCTTCACCACTGTTTTGTTGAAAGTTAGAAT